CTTTCAGATTCTCAATTCCCAGGAGAAAGAATCTGGTTGGTGTGGCCTGGGCCATGTACCCACCTCTGGCTCTGTCACGTGTGGCTGGAGGGCTGGTACATGTTTCAGACAAGGTTGCTGGGGTCCTCCTCCCCAAATATCAGAAAACTTCCCTAAAAGTTGCCTGCCACAGACAGGGCTAAGAGAGGTACATTCATTTGTGTGAGTTCACAAGTTGCTGGCAAAATTTCGAGTAGTTCTGCCCTGAGACTTGGGGAGGAAAGAGGGCCTGTATCCTTGGTCCTATGCTCTACAGGGTCCCAGTCTGGGACCATTCTGGTCTCCTTCTAGCCCTTCCTCTAGTAGAGTGAGGATTCCATGGGATTAAGGTGATATGTCCACCTGGGTCCATCTCCCTCACCCCCTAGTTCTGGACCACATCGTGGATACTTGGGACCCCTGGAATCTCCTGCCCAGACTACCCCAGGCTTACTTCCCGGGCCTTTGTGGGCTTCTTCCCTGATCTTCCCCCGGAGTGCAAACCTTGCAACAAGGTCCACATGCCTAGGCCTGAAGAGTAGTTGTTTCAGTGGGGAAGGATGGCCTGGGTGGCCACACTCATGTGCAAAGTCTCTTGCACTGTGACACAGAGCCAGAGGTGGGAAGAAAGAGGGGAAAGAGGACCACCTTCCCTAGTGCACCTCATTCTGGCGCAGAACTCCCAAGGAGTGTGAGAATTCTAAATTTGAACCCAGTCTTCCAGGTAGTAATAAAGAAAGTTTATTTGCTGAGGCAGGAGAATATAATACACTTTATTTTTTTTATTTTTTTAAAAGATTTTATTTATTTATTTGACAGACACAGCGAGAGCAGGAACACAAGCAGGGGGAGTGGGAGAGGGAGAAGCAGGCTTCCCGCTGAGCAGGGAGCCCGATGTGGGGCTCAATCCCAGGACCCTGGGATCCTGACCCGAGCCGAAGGCAGACGCTTAACGACTGAGCCACTCAGGCACCCCTACACTTTATTTTTAAATAGCCTGTTCGTATGATTTATACCTAAATACGTAGAAGTGTTATATGGGTTTCCACCTGTACTTTCACCCCAGGCCCTGAAAGTTTAGAGGTAGGCCTGTGTGGGACTGAGACTCTGAAACACAACTTTTTTTCCTCATTTGTCATAGCGTCGTGACCTAAGAAATCAGTGGATTCTTAGCCAGGCAAACTACAAAAATTCTGAATTAAAATCTTGGTAGTTTAGGGGCGCCTGGGTGGCTCAGTTCGTTGAGCGACTGCCTTCAGCTCAGGTCATGATCCTGGAGTCCCGGGATCGAGTCCTGCATCGGGCTCCCTGCTGCTCAGCGGGGAGTCTGCTTCGCCCTCTGACCCTCCCCCCTCTCATGTGCTCTCTCTCTCTCATTCTCTCTCTCTCAAATAAATAAAAAAAATCTTTAAAAAAAAAAATAAAATAAAATCTTGGTAGTTTAGGGCTCCTGGGTGGCTCAGATGGTTAAGCGCCTGCCTTCGGCTCAGGTCAAGATCCCAGCGTCCTGGGATCAAGTCCCGCATCAGGCTCCCTGCTCAGCGGGGAGCCTGCTTCTCCCTCTGCCTCTCTCTCTCTGTCTCTTATGAATAAATAAATAAAATCTTAAAAAATAAAATAAAATCTTGGTAGTTTATGAGACCTCATGAGAGTTTGTTTTGTCATAGTGATGGCATTCCCCGACCGTACTGCTGACGGCTGGATCTGTGTTGTAAGACATCTTAAGAGGGGTCTGGCATTCTGTGTCAGGCAATAAATGTCACCCAGCTGGCTATTTCACTTGACTTTTGAGGTCAAACAGACTCATTGACCAAACGGTTTGAGGGCAGTACAAACATTTTGTATATTAACTTTTACAGTGGATTTAAATCCCAAAGGAGTGATTATGGGGAAGTAGAAAACCACCTTAAAAACCATATGAGTTTTTCATCTTCACTAGTCATTTGAGCTTTCATCTGTCAGTTCCATTTTGGTCCTTAGCAAGCAGTGTCAACTGCCTGGGAACTGATAGATCTTGGTACTGTTGTCTCTTTTCTTTTTTAAATATCTGGGGTGTTTGTTGGAGGAGTGGATATGTGTGTATATGGAGTAGTGTGTATATGTGTGTATATGGAGCAGTGTGTATATGTGGTGAGAGAAGGAAGGAGAAAAAGAGATCCATACCTCGGGAAATTTGAAATTATTTACACATACTCACATACCATCCTTTTTTTTTAAGATTTTATTTATTTTTTTTGAGAGAGACACAGAGAGCTTGAGCATGAGTTGGGGGGGGAGCAGAGGGAGAGGGAGAAGCAGACTCCCTGCTGAGCAGGGAGCCCGATGTGAGGACTGATCCCAGGACTCCAGGATCGTGACCTGAGCCAAAGGCAGACACTTAACTGAGTGAGCCACCCAGGTGCCCCCATCTTTTTGTTGTTTTTAAGATTTTATTTATTTACTTGAGAGAGAGAGTGCGAGAGCACACAAGTGGGGGAAGGGGTGGAGGGAGAGGAAAAGAGAGAATCCCAAGACTCCCTGCTGAGCAGGGATCCGTACCCAGACCCGGGGCTCAATCCCAGGTCATTGGGATTGTCATGACTTGAGCGGAAGGCAGATGCTTAACTGACTGAGCCACTCAGGCGTCCCCACATATAACCATATTAAACTTCGTAAAAGTAGCTAGTACAGGGGTGCGCCTAGGTGGCTGAGTTGGTTAAGCAACTGCCTTCAGCTCAGGTCATGATCCTGGAGTCCCAGGATCGAGTGCCACATCGGGCTCCCTGCTCAGCAGGGAGTCTGCTTCTCCCTCTGACCCTCCCCCCTCTCATGTGCTCTCTCTCTCTCTCATTCTGTCTCTCAAATAAGTAAAATCTTAAAAAAAAAAAAAAACTAGGCTAGTACTGAGAACCATTTTTTTTCTGAACCATTTGAGAATAAGGTGTCAAAATGATGCTCCATCCATCACTCGCAAATATTTGTATTTTCTCAAACAAGGCATTTTCCGTAATCACAAACAAGTTAACTTCAAAATCAAAATTTAAATGGAGACATCACTACCATCTAATCCTCAGACCCCATTCAGATTTTACCAGTTGTTCCAATCATGTCCTTAATGACAGAAGGATTCAGTTCAGGATTATGCATGCATCTAGATTTTCATGATGCTTTTGAAGATTACAAGCCAATTATTTTGTAAATTGTTCCTTAGTCTGGGTTCGTCTAATGTTCCCTCATGATTAGATTCCAGCTTCACACCTTTGGGAAAAAAATCACAGCAGGGTTGCTCCTCATCCCATCCTGTGGTCTGGTGCTGGTTTCCATATGCTACTTTACTGGCAATGTTAATTTTGATCGTTTGAGTAGAATTATGTCTGCCAGATTTTTCCTTTGAAAACAATTCCTCTCTTCCCTATAATTACCCTCCAGTAATTTTTGGAGAGGTTGTTTGAAATACGTAAATACCTCATTATTCATCAAACTTTATCAATGAGTTGATTTTAGCTATATGACTGAAGGATTCTAGTTTATTTAAAGTGTTAGACTGTATTATTTTTTTTTTTCCCGCAAAGTGTTCCTATTTGACCAGTGGGAACTCCTTTATGTTGGCTCCTGTTTGCTCTTGATACGTCCCCATCATTCTTTGCACACTTCCTTGTTTCAGGCACAGTAAGATGTTTTGGGCTGCTGTCATACTCTCCCTGCCCTAGCTTCGAAATCAGCCATTTCTCCAGAGAGAAATGTTTCTCTCATTGGGGGTTAGAAACCAAGATTTGTCAAGGTGTGCTCACGGCCCCCAGGGCATCATTGCTTTGATGCTCTGTGGACGCAGCTCTTCAGTATTTGTATGTGCATACACACATGCTTGCATCTGCATTTACGTCCTTGTCTGTCTATATATACTGAAAATGAGTTCACACTAATAACCCACCACAGGTTTTATTCTATTTTTTTCCCTTTCCATAATTCTAATTCTCTTCTCTGACAGTGAGGAACCTAGGTTCTCTGTGTATTCACTTGCTGCAGAAGTTCTTGGTTGGTGGGGCGCCTGGGGGGCTCAGTCGTTAGGCGCCTGCCTTCGGCTCATGATCCCAGGGTCCTGGGATCGAGCCCCACATCGGGCTCCCTGCTCAGCTGGAAGCCTGCTTCTCCCTCTCCCACTCCCCCTGCTTGTGTTCCCTCTCTCGCTGTGTCTCTCTCTATCAAATAAATAAATAGGAAAAAAAAAAAAGAGAGAGAAGTCATCCCTGGTTGGAGTCAGTCTCCCAGTCCCCCCTGGGTTGCTACCCTCCTTCCCCAGCTCTGCTCTGTCCCCTGCAGCAGGCCACCCGCCCCCCCCCCCACTCTTCCCTGCCTTTCCTCAGTCCCAGCGGGATGTCTTCTGGACTGAACGATTCAGGAAAGGAAAAGGAAAATCACTTTCTTACTCATATTTAATTGTTTATATTTTAAAATATAGATATGTGCTGGCATTTTTCAAGATAATTTTCATTTAGCTTTAATAGGTTTCGGCAATGCTTCTTGCTACTGTAGGCCTTTTGCTAATGCCATCTCCAGCCCCACAGCCTGGAACTTTTGTTTCATAGCCCTTGCTTATGTTTCTTGCTGTTATTTATTGCTATTGTTGTCTTCAAACCATTCTTCTAATGAGACATGTTTAATTTTTTTGTTGGCTGTGACAAAGAATGTTGTATTGAATATCTTTAGACACACACTCTTGTTCACTTGTGCAAGAATTTCTGCGGTGTGAACACAGCCAGAGTTAAAGCCAGAGTGGAACTGGGTCTTCAGCTTTGCTAGGACTCCTTCTAGTGCAGGGAGTACATGTCATTCATCGCTGTGTCCCCAGCACCCAGAGGAGCACACAGTAAGTGCTCAATTAAAATTTATTGGACTTGAGTGGTCCTCAGCTGCTTTTAATAAACAGTAAACCTTAAATAATGACATTTCTCCTAGATGGTGAGGAGCTACTGCCCTAAGCAATTTTGCCTTTTTCTCAACAGAAGGTGGTCTTTTGCTCTGTTAAGGAAGCGCTGGAAGTGGACTGGAGCAGTGATAAAGCAAAGGCAGCTCTGAAGCGTACAACTTCGGATTACTTTCTCCTTCAAGGTGAGGACTCAGAGCAGAGCTTCCCAGTGAGCACTTTGTGCTTTGATTTCTGCACCTGTGGCTGCAGAGTCCAAGGGGTTTCTTGATGTTTGCCCCTAGTCGAGTTCCTCACGAGCTGGTTCTCCGTGGCCGCTCGAGAACATCTAGATGGATGGAGATGTGGCCCCTCGTTGAGTTCTGCATAACCCTCACCCATTCTCAGGGAGGCTGAGGTAGAGATGTTGCTTTTATTTGTCAAATTTGCAAAGCACTTTTGGTTGCATTTGGATAGTCTTCAGCCTTCCTTTCTCCAGGGCTGGGTCTGTGCAGACTCCAGGAACACCCCCTGCCCCAAGTCAGGAGAGAGGGTGGCTGTGTGTGATAGCTACACACAATTCCTCCCTCCCCAGGCACTATGTATATTGGTTCAAAGGGAAATATATAAAATTTCCTTAATAAACTGAAAATCAGATGAGGCTAATTAGCTAGGAATGAAGCTTTCCTCCTGTTAATTAGTGGTGTTAGCCAGGTTGGGGTTGGGGAGAAGTTGGGAAAAACTAGTTTAGAGCACTAAATATCCATTTGTATAGAAATCATCCAGTGTGGGGAGGTAAGGAAGTCATCCAGTGGGTTAGGTAGGAATGAGTCTTAGGCATGTGAGTCGGCTAGGACTCAGAAAATAGCTCCTTTTCTGGACTAGGATAGGACGGCAAGGCAGTGCCGTCTCTAGTCCAGCCTGAGCGCGGGGCCTGGACCATTGGGAGAAGCCAGTCACTCTGCCTGGCACATCGAGAGTCCTCAGTAAACAGTAGCCATTAATTTGTAAAGGTTTGGGGGGTATAACCTGAGTGGTTCTTACTGCTGCTTATACAAGGAGTCAACTGGTATTTGAGTTTACCAAAATCTGGTGATTCTCAACCGAGGGCGGTTTTGCTCACTGGGGGTAGTAGCGGTGTCAAGACATTTTTGGTTGTTCAGGCTGGGGGCAGGTAGGGTAGGGAGAGATCAGGCATGTTGCTAAATATCCACGGCACAGGACAGCCCCTCGTGACAAAGTGTTATCTGGCCCACAATGTCACAATGTCAGTAGTGCCAAGGGCAAGACATCTAATCTAACCCTTTGCAGTTTCTAGAGTATTTTCTCCTCCCAGCTCATCAACACAGCACCCTTGTGAGGTAGACAGAGTGGGACTTCTCCCCAGTTTCGTTTCTTGAGGTGGGGAAACAGAGACCCAGAGAGGCTCAGTGTTTTACCTGAGAGAACACAGACTGGAGCTTGGGCCCTGAACCACTCAGGTCTTTGAAGCCTAAGGCCATGTGGGAAACAGCAGCCTACCTTCATCCTAAGTGCTGTGTAGGTGTTGGCTTATGGAATCCTCGCTACACTCATGTGGAGTAGCTGCTATTCCCTCATTTATAGTTGTTTTAAAAGACACAGACTGGGGCGCCTGGGTGGCCCAATCGGTTGAGCGGCTGCCTACGGCTCAGGTCATGATCTCAGGGTCCTGGGATGGAGCCCCGCATCGGGCTCCCTGCTTGGTGGGGAGTCTGCTTCTCCCTCTCCCTGTACCCCTCACCCTGCTTGTTCTCTCTCTCTCTCTTCCTCTGTCAAATAAGTAAATAAAATCTTTTTTAAAAAAAGACAGACTGATTAAGACCAGGCCTGTTGCCATCCCTGCCCTCAGGAGCCCATCACCAAAGTGGGAGGCCACATTGTGGGGGAAAGTGTATATTTAAATCCAGGTGCTGCTGGCCAGCACCGTTAGAAGTTACGAGGGGCTGGGGAAGTAGACAGGTCCTGAGGAAGAAGCAGTAGCCTTATTACTGTGACCCATATGGCATGCTCGGTGCATGGTTGTTCAGAACAGGAGCTTTGGAATGAAAACAGATCTGGGTTTTCAGTCCTGGTTCTGTCATTTTTCTAGGTGGGTGATGTTGAGCCACAGAGTTAAACTCCCTGAGGCTCACTCAAATTCCCCTCTGACCATGGGGGTGTTATTAGTGCTTGTCTTAAGGGGGTTTTTGTAAGACTTGGATGGTATACATACAAAAGGCTCAGCACAGAGCAAGGAAATCCTAGAGACCTGTGTTATCTGTGAAGTTGTGGGCTTTTTTGTTTTTTGGGTTTTTGGTTTTTGACATGAGTACTTTGCAACTGTGTAGAAATTTGGGGATTGACTCAATTTCCCTTAATTCCATACTCGAGTAGGTATTATCATGGCAGCAATCTTACTAGATTTTAATTTTCTGCCATATGTTTACTTCTCTCTTCTATACGGTACTCAGTACCTTTCCAGTTTCAATTCAGGGCTTCGGATTTGGTGATCTGATGTAAAACGATGTTCATTAGTTAATAGTCATAGAAATTTTTTTATTACGGTAAGAACCACATACCATAAAATTTACCCTCTTAACCACTTTCCATGTACAGTTCTGTAACAGTCATAGAATTATAAAAGGAGGCAGGCCCTCATATCCTCTAGGCCAGGAGTGGCAGGAAGGGGCTTTCCACTCCTCCCCCGACCCCCCTCACCTGTGGCATGTGTGGCTGAAGGACCCTCATTGCTGACCGGCAAGTCCACATCATCAGGCCACTTTCCCTAAGCCTCAGAACCCGTTCAGTGGCACAGGAGGGGAAGTGACTCGCCATCGTCATAGAACAAAATGGTGGTAGTCTACATCTCAATCCCAGGTCTCCTGACTCTTCCAGGGGCTAGTTCCTTCACACCACACCCAGTGCTCTTTCTGGCTGTTTTTGGATACCCATCACAGCCTTTCCTGAGCCTCTCTCTCTGCAGCAGGTGACAGGTTCTAACCTTTCTTGCGTGGTGTCATACACACATTCCTAGTGATGTTTTTTGGTCAGTTGGTCTCTCTGAGCTCTGCTGTATCTTTCCAGAGGGGCTGCAATTGGAACTACCGGGAGTGCTCCAAATGCAATGGGCACGAGGGCCTGGCTTGGCTTTGGGGAGCTCCTCTACGAATGCATACTTAATTAACGCCCATGACTGCCTGCTGGACTAAAGTTCTGGAAGTAGAGGGAAATGGCTGACGTGATCTCTTTCCCTGGTTATTCCAGCAGCATAGAACCCTTTGCTTGTGGGTATGAAGCTGATCCTCTGCGGGTGTATCATCTTAATCTTATATCCAGGGAAATAAATACTCCTTTCGATTTTCTGCTCAGCCATTCATGGAGCTATGGGATTCTCCCGTAATTTGACCTCGTTGGATTTATGCAGCAAAGCATAGCAGCTTCCACATGTGAAGTTGCCTTGTGCCAAATACACTTGCCATTAACGGTATTTGTGACTTTAGGCAAATAACTTGCTTCTCTAGGATTTTGTTTCCTCGCTTCTGAAATGATAGGACTAAGTCAGCCAGCCTGTCTTGAAAATCTTTTCTGAGTCTAAATAATCAGTGAATCTAATAAAATATCATTCTTGTGGCTTGTATTTCTCTACTTTTATACTTGTATCTTTTTTTTAAAAAAGATTTTATTTGAGAGCGAGAGCGCGAGCGCACAAGTAGTGGAAGTGGCAGAGGGAGAGGGAAAAGCAGATTCCCCACTGAACAGGGAGCTCTATGTGGGACTCGATCCCAGGATCCGGGGATCATGACCTGAGCCGAAGGCAGACGCTTAATGGACTGAGCCACCCAGGCGTCCCTCTACTTTTATATTTATAATTAACAACTTTATTGACTTATGACTTATACCAGAAAACTTAGTTTAAGTGTATTTCTTTAAAAAAAATTCTAATTTCTTCTTTTGTTTTGGGGGGGTGTTTTGTGATTTTTAAAAAATTAATTAATTCAAACAGTATCTTCCACATAGTCCCAAAGTTTGATTTTAATTAGAAGCATTCTTTTTGCCCAGCCTGTTTTGATTGCTAACCATGGCAGTAAAAGTACAGCCTGAGTAGAGACTGATCCAGTCTTGTGTCTTAGAAAAAGCATGGGCTTTGGAGGCTGACAGAGCTGAGCTCAGATCACAGCTCCCCCTCCCTTATCAACAGGCCTAACCTTTGGTGCATGAGCTTCATTCAGATCTAGGTTCCTAACTTGGGGCTGAGGGGGCTAGGGGATAGCACTGCCTGCCCTTGGCTCTAAGAGATGTACTGAGGTGCTAAATGTGAAAAACGAGTGCCGGGGCACAGCTTCTAGACTATTGAATATTTTCCTTTGACTCTCTTCAGAACATTTTCCAGTCACATATTGAGGAGGAGGAGAGTTGGTTTTGTTTTTAAGTCAAGGTTTGCACACCTGAAATTGATATAATTCTAAAATGGCCTTAGTTTTGTTATTATAAAATCAAACAATGGTAACGTCTGACTTAAGGGTGTGGGATGGCCTTAGGGAATATCCAGGTTGAGTGGTTGACTTTTCAGGCACTACTGTGGTTTTCATGTGGCGTGTAAGAATGCTTATTGTGTACTGAACATGGCTTGCTGCTTTACCTCGCACTGTGCTAAGCATCTGACATATTCTCATTGTTATCAGGATAACCTTTGAAATACAGTTGCTGTCCCATTTTCTTTAAGGAGGCCAAGGTTGAGCATGGCTGTGACTTGCTTGGGCATACGCTTGGTTTTATAGACAGAACCAGGTTTTAGACCATGAGGTCTGTTTGATCCATGGACTGTGCTCCTCACATCTGTAATATGCACCTCCAAGCTAAGTGATTTTGTTAAACTGCAAATCAGGAGCTCTCCATGTTAGAGAAATGGGATCACCACCACAGTACAGAAAACCCTGGTTCAGATATGTATTAGACACAAAGATTATCTGAATTCTGACCCAGATAGTCTTCCTCCTCCCCCAAGAGACACTTGAGTTTTATTTTTTTGAAAAAGTACCACAGTAAGCAGTTTTCAAGGAATTCACAATGGTGTAAAAGGGTAAGTTTTCTTCGTTATACCCTCCCCATTTTCCCCACTTCCAGTTTGTGGGGGAAACTACTGTTTAAGAATACCTTGCCAGGGCACCTGGGCGGCTCGTTCGGTTAAGTGTCTGCCTTTGGCTCA